TCTCCTGTCTATGGGATCCACAGGGGTGGGTTTGGGGTGTGTGACCCTGACATCATCTCTTCCACATTCAAGAGCAGACCACAAGTCAGAGACAAATGCCTGGATAAAGCCTATAGGCATACATTAGAGAAGTGTTCAGTGACCACATAAATACATTTTTAAATACCTCTTACTCTTTACTAAGTACCTAAATGTACAGCTGACATCCAACCATTTATTTACACATATTCAAAGATTGTCTTGCTGGTAGTGCAACATGCGTGCACGGCAATAACAGCAATTTAACATTAATATGGATGATGGACATACTAAAGGCCTGTAGGTTTTGGCAATGCGTTGATGGCATAATTTTGACCATCAGTTTGAGATGCATCTGAGATCACCTCCTCCTGACCTGCACTTAACCAGGTTTTACATTCTCACAGACTTGTGTATCAATCCAACACCTGAATTGATCGAACAAAAGCCTGTTGACACAGCCCTTAAAGTGGACCTAAACTCAAAAACTGAAGAGTTTCTATTTTATAGGGAGCACTTCGAAATGTTAATTGTGCCCAAGCAGTACCTTGAACAATGTACATTTCATCTCAAATTCCTCCTACAAAATGGTGGTGCATGCCCTGTGTCTGGGCACGCCTGTTCCAACAGTCTTATAGCCGTATATATCTGCGTTGTGAGATCTAAGGCACTGCTGCCCTTGACTGCTAGTTTTAGGAAATTTGTAGTGAGATTCTGTGATTCTGTCACCACTGTGCTGCTCACTGCTTTAATTGCTGAAGGCTCCTCCATTGCTGCCTTCACAGAGACACAGTGCATAACAGGGCATGGTAAGTCAGTAAGTGGTTAAAATCAGCTGCAAGCAGACCACCGATGACTTGTCCTTGGCACTTTTCCCTTTCAGGATCCTTAAAGTACAGGCAATACCTGCTGTTGTTAAAAATGCACTCAGTGTTACCCAAAGTTGATATAAAAATAAATATGACTGCTTTAAAAGCCTTCACATTTACATGCATATGAACTGGTAAATATGGTTTGGGCACTTGGGTGAAAGCTTAACGCAACAACAGAAATGTCCCAAATATGGCAAACCACCAATCTACGTTCATATAAATAAAATTATTACAGGAGAACTATGAGGTGAGTGCTTTTCACTCACCTCATAGTTCTAGCCGACCTGTGACAATGAGACTGTCAAAGGTCGGCTCAGTAGATCGGGAGGTGAGCGAACACATACCGGGTTCGCTCGCCTCTCGATCCTGTCACGGCTCTCTGCCGTGACAGGGGGAGGGGCTGGATTCCCCTCTCCCCGCTCCGATCTGCCAGAGGTGACTGGCGGAACGGACGGGGGAGGGGGCGGGTACAGCTGGCTCTGCCTCTAGATAGGCAGAGCCAGCTGTCACTCACGCAGCTGGGCGGATCCCGTCATCAACGTCGGGATCCGCTCCGGCTGCGGCGTCTCAGTATACCGCGAGCTGTAGCTCGCGGTATACTGAGCTTAGGGTAACGGGAGGATGCTAGTTTGTGTCCTCTCGTTACCCTAAGGAGAACTATGGGGAAAAACACTGACCCCATAGTTCTCCTTTAAGCATGCTATAACCTATTATTAAATGCACAAACAGTGGGATAGACAAGACAAATAACAAACACATATATAAGTGCCAGGTTATATCCTAATAATTAGCAGCTAAGGTTGAAAAAAGACACAGGTCCATCAAGTTCAATGTGTGTATTTTATTTGCTTGATTGAGAAGAAGACCAAAAAAAACCCTACAAATATAGGCCAATTTTCTGCAAGAGGGCAAAAAAAAAATCCTTCTTGCCCCAGTACTGGCCATCAGATAAATCTCTGAATCAATTATCTTTCAAATTGAAGAATTTAC